GACATATGGCGATTTAAAAAAATCGTTTTTTGGCTGTTTAGATGGTGTTGCTCCATCTGGGTCACTGCCGGTGGTTGAGACGGTGGGGTCTTTGGCGACTACTTTTATAGCCCCATGTAGGATTACTTGCTTCAGGAGATTGGCATTGCTGTTATTCGATGTGGACAATGCTTTCTGTCATGCACACAGTTTACCGTAATATTTTTTGCATCCTTTATCCCCACAAATTGAAAATAGTGGTTATATTTCAAGTTGCAAATGCGCTGCTGCTCTCGCTGATACTTGCATCTGCCATTGTGTGTGTGTGTGCTGGTGATGAGCGTTGCCGTGTGTGTGTTAGCATTAGCAAGTGTTCGTGTGTGTATTTTCCATAAGGCAAGGCCCGCCCAACTCTGTCTCTGATTGGCTTACCCTGAAATGTTACCCCGCGTTAACCAATCATCACTCATCACTACTTTCACTTTCACCTTTTCCATGGTGCTGTGAGAGGACATCGCTGTATTCGCGCCTGTAAATTACATCCGCAGGAGATTCGGTTCAAGTTCCATCTCCAATAATGTAACGCAGTAACGCAAACCATTTAAATCACAGTACTATAACGGCGTTACTATGGGAAATAGGTAACTAGTAACGCTATTAGTTATACCGCAAAAAGTTGTTGCGTACAGCAGTGGTTCTCAAAACTTTTTCTGTCATCTCCCCACTTTGAACAGGTGGGTCTTTTCAAGCCCCCACCTGTTCCTCATCGCTCAATAAAATGATACGGCAAGCTTTAATTGTCAAATGTATACGTTCCCCTATAACAGGGGTCTCGAAACCTTTTTTAGGATGAGAGCTACTTTTCCAAAAAATAAAACAAGTCGTGAGCTACTTTTACTCCTTCTTTTTTAGTTTTTTGCACTGTATAATATTTAGCAATTTGAACATTATTATATGCTTACCTTTAACCTTTATGTGCTGTTTGGGTCTGTGGGGACCCATTTTCAATGTTTCTAAAAGAAATGTAGCAATTTAATTATTTATAACTGCTTTATTTGGGGTGGGGTCCGGGGGCATGCACCCCCCGGGAAGATTTTTTTTTTTAAATGTGAAGTGAAATGCCTCAATCTGGTGCACTGTGGCAAAAAATGAATTTATGGATACAGCTCTCAACACACCTGAAAGGGAGCTGTTACTTTCATAATCCAAACATCTTAGAATATGAAAACCAATAACAAATCATATAAACTTTGTTTATTGCTTATCTTATGTCCTAGTTATCATTCTTCTTCTTTTTTATTTATGCATATTTTACTAATCAACTCCCTTTTAAACTTTTTTTTTTTTTTTACTGTCCTAAATAGCACACAGTAGAATAGATTTCCTTACTTTATTTTAGGCTATAATTAAATAGATAATGTGTGCTCTCTCTAGCTCTCTCGCTCTCTCTCCTCATGTCTCGCTGCTCACATAGGCTGATGTGCTCCTCCGTGGCGATGACGGCCTTGCGTAAAAAATTAATAATAAACATAGGCCCCCCTATTTGTAAAGTGGGGGACACAAAACGGGATTTTTTTTCCCGAAAAAAACAAAAAAAAAAGGTTGTCCCGGTTAACCTTGTGGAAGTGGTGAGGTGCCGCTCCAACATTGGCTTTTTCTTCCCGACTGCAACGCTGTAAATGATTTGGTTACAGTTGTGTGTGTGTGAGCAGGCCTCGGATTGGCCCCATCGGGAGATTTGGGAGCTTTTCCCTGTTGGTCCGCTGCCTTTGGTGGCCGCTGGCATTCTGACAGAGGTGGGCTGGACTTTCACAGCGCCGCTGCGCCGGTGCCGTCTAGCTGCCCAAACCCCGCCGTTGAGAGGCTCCGGCTGTAACAGTCACTAACACCCGCCGCGAGGACCCCAGGTTTGAATCTGGCCTGAGGTCCAAAAAATTAATTAAAAAAAAAAGAAAAAAATTTTTTAAAACTCCCGTTCATCGCGTCATCTTCGCGACCCACCTATCCATCTCTACGCCCCACCATTGGGCGCGCCCACACTTTGAGAAACGCTGTGCTAACAGTAATGCGTTACTTTGTAACGCGTTAGTCCCAACACTGGACACAGCAAGATTTGACTCAAATATAGTGTAGAATGCTGATATTATCACAATGATTAAACAATGATGATTAATAAGAACATGATTCAACTATGTTCTCCATTTTTGTGTTTACATGGCAAATATCTGAATGTTCTCGACTTAAAGTAGACAGTCAGATACAGCTGAGGCTACAGGAAAGTGGCTTTTTTTCCTATTTTTTTGTCATAAAACCAATTTGGAACTTGTCCAGGAACTTTAATGAGAAAGTTCAGGAGCTATTGCAAATGGTATGGGCACTCAATCCAACAGTTTTTGTGCCTTGTTATTCCATAAATAAATCCATTTGAGAGATGTTAAGTGTCAACACTCATCGTGGAGGAAGGGAAAATAGGGTAGATCACCCATAAATCCATAGATTTCATCCTGGTGTGGACAAATGATAGGATAGTGTTGACATATTTCAGTGTGGACCAAAAAGACGAGAACCGACCAACAGTTGACAGAACTTAAACTTAACTAGCCTTAAAGCTGCCTTAAGCGCAGAGAACACAGTTGCATAAAGTTAAACTATATTCCCTGACATGTTCTTTTCTTTAAATAACTTGCATAGTTGGTCCACTAAAGTCTGACAGCACTACATATGATGACAGATTCTTGTTGGGGGGTTGACAAAGTAACGAGAAGTGATTTTAAATGTTAGCTATTAAGTGAACTTTTTAAATGTACACTGTAACATATTACCAATGATTTCACAAATATTAGCTGTAATTTTTAAAGATAAATTACGTTTACCACTTTACAGTCTTCTACCTGTAATGTTCACAATATAATATTTGAATTTGATTTCACCACAGTGAAATCAATGCAGGCACAGTTTAATTACTTTGAATGTACAGGATAAATGTTGCCAGGATTTCACAACATGTTATCGTATTATTTCACTGTAAAATACTGTATTCAGACCATCCTTCTGTGATAACACAACAAATTAAGGGATTTTCTTGCTTTTAATCACTCTTGCTTGGCTTTAAATACTAATTTCTTTCTTTAGTGCAGGTTTTGCTTAAATTGAAAGGTTGCAACCGCGCTTGTGCCTTAATAAACAATGCAACATATAAATCCTATATGTAAGATTGAAATTGTTGTCCCTTGGCTTATTGTTTTCAGGTGATTCCACTGGGCATTAACTGAAGAACGGGCTCGAAAGCCAAAAAAGAGGCATGGCAAGAGCACATTCTCCAAGACAAATTGTTGACTTTAGAGTGGAGTCTGTGTAGACATTGGGTGTGGGTTTAAGGTGCTCCCCTCCTTGTTTTATGTTTCTGTCTCACCTTCATGTCTCCCTTCTTGCCCAGGTGCACCTGGTCTGCCTCAAGGTGTGGTCCTGGTCTGGCTGGGTCTGCCCTGGGCTCCGCCTCTGCCAGGTGCACCTGGTCTGCCCCTTGGCTCCGCCTCTCTCCAAGGTGTTCACCAAATTCACTCAGCCGGTATAAAGGAAGAAGCTCAGGAGAAGGATGTCCTTTCTACCCTAACGCCGGGAGACACATCTCCCCTTAGAATAGCCTCTTTGCTCATTTTTTAGGCTGTACCCGCATATTTTTTCAGATTGTGTTTATGTTTAGCCTGGAAGGACGCTGGTAGTCCAGTTTTCGCGGGCTTTTATTTTGTTTCCCATAGGGTTTATAAATTTATTTCTGATTAGGGGAGGCTCTGGGTCCGTACGGC